ACTTTCGCTCCTGGGGCACCCGGGGCACGTGGGACGGGGGAGGGCACAGCGTTCACTCCCCTCTCCTGGGACTGTCGCCAAGGAGCTGGCAGTGAGGGGTGGAGAGCTGTTTCCTGTCTGAGTTCCTGGGGCCTGGCACCCAGATCCACGTGGCAGGGACGTGCCCGGAACTGCTGCTGGGAATGAGACGGGAGGAATCGCTTCTCACGAGACGCGCGTGGTCTCCTCTCTCGTAGTTTGAGCCCACGTATGAAGAATTCTCCGCCTTGGACAGCGACTCCTTGCTGGACTACAGCTCTATGCAGAGGCTGGGAGCGAAACTGGGGTAGGTGCAGCGTGGGGGTTGGGCCCCTCTACCCCCTGTTGGGGAGGACGAGCTCCGTGGAGTGATGGACGGGCACGCTCCATAGCCCGTGATTGGGTGACAGAGGGTGAGCACTACTTAAGGGAACATGGGGCTCCCGTGTGCGCATCGAGTCGGCAGCTGTGCTGTGTTTCTAGCTGAGCCACGGGCCCAGGAGCTGAGAAGAGGGGGCGTTCATGCCGGTTGCTCCGCGAGCCTAAGGCAGTTGGGCCTGGGAGCGCCCAGCCTGGCCTGCGTGGGGACGGTGCTGAAGGGGCTGGGGGTGTCGGCCCTGTGCTCGGGGCCTTCCTGCTGCCCGTTCTTGCTGTTCGTCCACCTGAACCGGTGGGACCCTGTCTCCTCCGGTTCCTCTGAGGAGCGCACAGCCCCTGTTCATTCACCGCCTGGGGGAGCTCAGTGTTGAGTGTGAGGACGGACCCCCCAGAGGTTATTCACGTGTCAGGCCCGGGAGCCCCCTGCCAGCCTGAGTCACTTCACGCTCCCTTCTCAGCTGGGTTTCTTGTTGGGTTTTCTGTGTTTCACTGTGAGCTTAGGCCAAGCCGAGGGGGGTCTCGCCGGTGGCTGCAAACCTCAGGGAAGGCTTTCTCCTTCCACCCGGGACTCCTTTGAGGTTGCCCGTCCCCCATTCACTGAGGGGGGACCTTTGGGGGACCCAACTTGAGAGAGGAGATTTGGGGGTGACCTTTTCCTCACCTGATGGAGACGCAGGGCCCATCCCCTTCTCCCACGCGAGCGCCGAGACCCCAGGCCGTAGGATGCTGGGC